TAACTTTAATCACTGATAACTGATGATCATTCAATTATCACAAATTTTTAATTATCACCAAACGAAAAATGAATAATCATAAAGTTGCAACAACAATAAACAAGTCTTTTGCAAATGAACAAATGAAAATCAAAGTGAGTTGTGGATAATAATGGATATTGGTAACATGTGATATAAAATATAAATGTTAATTAATTTATATTTTTTAGAAAGTGAAGATACAAATAAAAAAAAACAATGACAATGGAGATACAGCCATTGTTTCCATAATTTGTAATATATCATTCGTTTTGGGATGGATTCGATAAATTTATAAATCATTATTGCGTGTGTAGTATGACGACGGATGACATAATGTTTTTCTAGCGATTATGCTAAAAAGAGAATCACAAAAGAAATCTATTAATATTTCAACCCAACCTTCTTTAATCATCTATCATTTTTTTCCCAGCCACCCACACCCTTTTCAACAAAAAAAATAAAAACAATAGTAAAATGTGAGAACAATACTAAAAAAAAAATAGAGATGGACGGCGTATTAATGAAAACCCTTTCTATTGACTACCTTATTTGGTTCCAATCAAGGTCCATAATCTAAAGAAGAAGTAAATTAACATACAAAGAACTATTCATTCATTAAAAATTTTGGGGGAAGATCCGAGGAACATTAATATATATTACGCGAAAATAATACACGGCAAAAATAAAATATGCAATTGGGCAAATCATAACCGAATCCATCTTTGAATTGAATGTGTTTACTGGGGTAAGAAAATAAAAATAGATGAATGACACCATTTTAATTTTTAAAGTTGATATTTTACTATTAATAAAAAATCATCTATCTGTCAATTATTATGATATCAGCTGGATATTTTTTCCAAATTAATAAGCAATAAACATTGATTGGCGATAAATTAGATATTGATTAAAATTTTATTTTATCAGGTTTTTTATTAAAGTTATAAATTAAAAATTAAAAATTAAAAATTAAAAATTAACATTAGTAAGTATTGAACCGCGTTCGGAAAAATGGACATGATGATAAACAATAAGTAACAATAAGTGTAACTTTGTGCCAATTTCGAATTAATATGGGATATTATCGAATAATCATCACTAATACTGACGAGATTAGTCAGGGGTCCTATAATAAAGATTACCAATGAAAACACGATGATTATTTTAAGTTTAGATTACTAGAAACAATACTAATTTTTCACAATTTTTGGTTGGTTAATGAACAATATAATAATTAGGGGTTTTTTTATATACGCGATTACGCTTTAATTATAATTTTTTGTTTTTTTATTTTAAAAAAATATATTTTTTTTTTGATAATTTACAATATATTTTTTTTTTTTTTTTTTTTTAAAATTGTTTTTTTTTTTTTTTTTTTTTTAATTAATTTTTTATTTTTTTTTTTTTAATTTTTTTTTTTTTTTTTT